CTCTCTCTCTCTCTCTCTCATATTCTATTACCAGGGAACTTTGATTATTATTCTTTTTCTTCGAAATGATGATAATGATGATGAATATGCTCGTGGACGTAGCGGTGTACGAGCGAAGATGTATTATTATTGAGGCTGGGATCATTTGAAGTTACAATAGTTGCTGCGCCGGGCTTATTACCACTGTTGTTATCATTTTCTAAATCATTAATCTCTTCTTCATCGTCCTCTTCTTCCTCCTCTTCTTCATCCATTTCCTCTTCGTCCTCTAGTTCATTTGTTCTCCTCCCACTTTCCTCATTTAAGGTTGTCGAACCGACTTGATACTTTGGAAAATTTGTAATATCATCGTCATCATCTAAATCCACTAGGGTGCCCTCAACTACGTTCCGATTGATTGCGGAATCTTTAATATTGTTTGCCTTTTCTTTCGTTATTGTAAGCTCGTTCTGTGACTGGCCTTCTTCGTCACTTGTTTGACTAATGAGATTTTCGCATTCCAACGGATCCATAATAGGTACCATGGTCGAATAGTCGTTAATAGTCTTACTGTCGCAAACTGCATGATCAGCTTGATGCAACACATTATTCGTACGTTTTTGCTTTAATGTTCGCCTTTGGCCTTCGGTTAAATTAGTTTGCCGAAGCTTTTCTCGAAGTTTATCGTACAACATTTGGTCATAATTTTTCATTTGTTCCTTCCTCCATTTTTCAAGATTTTCAGGAGGAGGTTTCTCCATAGTTGGACTAAGCAAATTTAACGCTGCCAAATTATGTTTCGTTGTAGAAGATAAACGCTGATAGCCATGATATTGAGGTGAATTCTTCGCTGTCACAATTGCGGTCTGATGGATTTTATTATGTAATCCAGTGCGCAATATTTTGCCGGATTTATCTCTATTTGAACTGTTCGGTGGTATGGCTGAAAAATGCTTTGGTGTACTTTGACGGTTAGGAACTGTTGATATTATTGGTTGCACGGTAGCAATCGGTTGTTGGTGATGATTATTAGGAGACGTTGATTTAATGCAAGATGAGGTCTGTGGTGAATGACTTACATTGCCCCCGCATATAGTAGCGTGTAAGAACGAATCGTAACCACATAAATTTACCTTACTATGACGTCCCGCAATAAGGGGATTAACAGATGATTGCGATGATAAAATGGCCGGATGATTAACAATCATATGTTGTTGATAAATGGGAACGTGTGGATGCGGCTGATAAATATTACTACTTTGGAGACGTTCCTGAATGCTTGTATTATGGATTGCATATCTAGAACGAATATGATGCGATGACTGGGTATGAGCTGAATGCGAATTATTATGATTAGCAATTAATGTCGGTATTTTAGACATTGTATTTGAACGCAAACGTGATTTCAGTTGTGCCTGCTCTTTCTGTTTGCTCTGGGTCATATGCTGTAACATTCGAGGTTGCGTGATAGGATCCACATTCGCTTGCGGTTTTCTGAAATGAAGATCAAGAACTAAGTAAGCTTTTACAAAACACTATATCGAAGGACAAAAGTTCCTCTCGTACTACTCCCACTAGGACAAATATGCATTAAATAGTAGTAATCGTTATGCATACCCGTTCAACTGAAAACACAGACGATTCTTTTCCATGCTTTCACGTATAATGCTTATTAAATCGTTTCGATTGAAAGTAGTTTTCCAACATTCAGCAGAATTGCGTTTCGGAGATGCATTCAATGCTTCAATGGGAGATTTTTGTGGATTACGCCTTTGGACACTTTCGACGGCGTCTGCACCATTTAATGATCGCTCTGGACACAACTCCATACGTTGGTGTGATTTTTTTTGTAAATGTTGATCTTTCACTAATGTCTCGTTACCAACAGATAGGCTTCTCGGCCTCATTCCAGTGCATTCCTCCTATTATGGATACAAAGCGCGTCAATGCATCATGTATAAGTGTACACCAACCATTAAGGAAAAAAAAAAAAAAAAAAAAAACCGAAAATCAACATCAAGAAGAAATACATTATTCATCGATAATAGTAATAAACGATGCAATATTTCTCAACAACGTCAAGTTGTTTCGTACGATTACCTTTTGCTTACGTGATTTTCGCAATAGCTTGGTACGTGACGATTCGACATGTTTTAGAAAAGCCTCTGTCGTTTGCGACTTCTGATCTCCTTGGGTTACTGAACAATTTATCTCATTCGCAACAACGTCGCCAGCTGTCAAACAATCTCGACAAGATTGTATATTTTTGGAGCTGCTGCACGAATTGTCATGTGAAACGGGCAGCGGATCTGAGTAAAAATTATTACAATGAAAAGGCTACAGAGAGCGTTCTTGTTATTGATGTTCAGCGTTACTTTACCATTTTTGACATGTCTAGAGGTCGGCTTAACAATTGTGTGATTTTTAACGTGACTTGTTTCGCACTCTTTATCGCTGTTACTATCATCGTCCTCGTCATCTGATCGAATAAGTTTCCGGGGCCGATAGCGGTGATGTCGACGAATCGCCGACATACTGTTATGCTCTAATTTCGGTACTGTAGATGGAATTTTCTTCGCTTTGGATGATTTCGGTTTACCTTCGGGGCTAACGGTCAAGCGTACATTGAACGTTTTGCTTCCACAATGAGGTACAACCACCGACTTTCCAATTGATTCATAAATTGTATAGACTATGCCCACAATATCGTCTTTGGTAATTTTGCCATGATGTCCGTCTAAATCGTAAAAGGTAAACGAAAACTGTAACGGCTGCGACGATTTGTCACCCTCGACAGACACATCGCAAGTAAATTCCTGAGCAACACAAAAAAATAAATAAAAAATTAAATGACGAATATATTTATAAATGAAATGAAATAATATATTGTATTTTATATAAACTAAATGCTCCCATACAAAATAGAAATTTATACGGAATATGATGTGGGTGACACAGTGCGGCTAATATTCATCAGCCAAGGATAGCAAATCCTTCAAGTTTTAAAGATGATGCGAATAAATGTTAAATTTCACTTGAACTGAATCACCTCAGTCGCATTTGGGGAAGCAAGAACTCTTATAATCGAAAACGGATTTTATTATTTAATTTATACTTTATGATCCGGATGAAAATGCTTGAAGAAAATTATTACCAATCACAGACCCGAGGAGTGTGTTAATTTACTGCATATCCTTGTATTGATATGAAAATTTATCGTCTGCGTAAGAAGAATTCAGTGATGCTTACCTCTAACCGTATACGCTCATCTGAGTTCTGATGATTATATGCGTGACGCATGTGGGATGTGTTCAGCGAATAAACTTGTTGGGTTTGCTCGTTCAGTCCGTCAGCCTCAATAGCTTGTTGTCGATGCTGTACACTTTGCTTAGCAATATTGTGTTTATCAACGCAACTGTTGTTACCGCTTTTTAAACATTTCGCGGTTATGTCTCTTTCCCCATCAAGCGTGTACTGCGTGTACTGTTGATGCTGCTTCAAATAATTCTGAGCATCAGCAGTTGGTACCGTTGACGGAGATACTATCGTAGACGTGTTGCCGATTATATTCACCGCGGGCGAAAGAAGCGACAAATTATTCTCTCGTTCGCCAACAAGAAGTAAATCGGGCGGGGCACTGCAAGAAGACGAAGCTCGTACATGATGAAACATTAGATCTTCGGAATCTGTCGTACATTCCTGAACTACAAAGACAAAAATAGAATGAATGAATATTGATTGCGTACAATATGGATAGATCAGTCCTAATCAATCTTTTTGCCTGCGATGAAATATTTTGATAAACGTAAGCTCATGCTATCTCTCACGTAATGTGATTTATACCATATTCTCTATGGACGCTGTTTATGATTATTAGATCAATTAAACAACTGTCGGGTCCTCAATTCAGCAGACATTTTAATGAAACCGGATACACTAGTATAATTTGGTCCAAGTACGAAAATTAATAAAAAATGGATTGAATCGGACTGTGTCTGTCATCATTCCTCATATGAAACGTTAATTCGAGGAGAAATCGTTCATCGATCCGGCATAAAAGTAAACTGTGCTTACTTTTAACACCTGTTCGGACTCGAAAGAAAAGTAAACCTTTATGTGTCTTTTATAAAACGAAAATACCTAAAGAATTATTAGGGGAAACAGTCAAAGATATTTAAACGTCGGCCTGGCCAGGCTATCATAATGTTTGCAATTTTTGCTTTAGATTAATTTGGAAGAATTGTTAGTGCAGTAACAGTAATATTCGAAGAGGTTATCTCAAGCATTTATTTATATTTTTGAAAAGTTTTAAAACATGCCAATACCGCACACATTCTCTAGAGGGGCATCTTGCAGATTAAATATTTTGAAAAATGGTGTGAAAAACCAAAGGCCTGGTCCAAATGTGTCTTCACACGATAGGAGATTTTAAAATAAATATATTGATTTTAATACGATTGGCGAGCGTTCGACGTGAAGACGTCCACTATTTGGCCAAAAGAGACAATCTTTTGTTAATGAATTAATTGTAGTTTAAGTGAACACATATTGAACATCGCCTACGCATTTCTCGTTGGTATGCTGTTTTACAAGAGCAGAATTTAATTAATTTAAGTAATTTATAAATTATAACAAATATGTAATGATCAAATATTAAACTTGGCGTTCAAATACATTTGTGCATGCACTGAGAACGGTACACGTAATAGGCGATGTGTTAAATGAATGTTAACACGTTTTCAAAATGTGTCAGTGTATAAGAGATGCTAGAAATCAAGAGATATGTCATTAGCATGTAACTTGCGAGTAAGGAGTGATTTGACTCTTACCAGTTTTTTTTTTTTCTTAATATGATCAATCATTTAGGGTATGTCTCACCTATTCACGTAACATAATAGATGTCACAAAGGAGTAATGAAAAAGAGTGAGATTAGTAGATGTACTCTAGTGGGTGGGTATGCAAACACTTATTAAGTGTTACAGCGTTGCCAACTGAGCACTCACAATAAGTGCGCGACTAGCGTAGAAACTATCGCACTTACGATTTCAATCTGCGATTTGGTAATAATTGCGATTCCCCCCTATAGGTAGGGAGTTGAGAAAGAGTTTGAAATTTCAAAGAAAAAATTTATCTTCAGTCAGAAGTCAACTTTCTTTCCGCACATTCTAAAGGATACATTCACAGGATCTGTTAAAGCAATAATAAAAAAAAAATCGATATACGATATATTGTTAGGTGTTTGCAAAAACTTTTGATCGGCGTGGGTAAAAATGGCAAAGAAGTGCGTAATACCAGTATATATAACGGTTGATTTCGATGATTTTGACCTTCCAGTAGATAAAATATCAGTTTTCCATTTAAAATGATTGACTTATTCAGCATACGCCGACGCTAATCATGTAACACTCAAACTTCTTCGTCTTCCAAATTCACATTCTCTTGATTAATTTTCATTTTTTTGGTCTGATACATGTTTTGCAACCATGGTATGCAACAATCAACATCAGCCTTGTTAGGGGAATCGAAACAAACTATTTCACGAGTGTAGCGATAAGCAGAGTAACACGGACCGCATTTAGTTAAGGCTTTTAAAACATTAATACGTGAAGCGAAACTAAATGAAATCCGGATTCTTGTTCATTATAGCGACGCGATCGCGGTCGAATGAATTGCTTCCACACTTGAATTTTTATATAGCGTGAATAAATGTTTAAATCGTATTTCATACCAATGGTTTTTCTAATGCAGATTTGATCTTTTTATCTTTGTTTTTTTTTTTTTTTAAATATTAACTAAATTAAAATTTAAGTTACACGCCTGAGTGGCTGAGCAGGCAAAGTGTCTTGACTAATCAATCAATGGTCATGGGTTCAAATATCAAGTGCGGTTGAGTTTTCAAGAAAGCCGATAAACTTAGATGCTTTAAGACTTTAAGACTTTAGTCTTTGAATATCTTTTTCTGGCTAAATTAATGATAATAATAATTATAATAGAATTTAGATAAAAGTATGATCTGTGACCATTTTTTTTTGTTTTCTTGGTTTTTTTACTTTCGTTCAATTATCAAAAATTACGGCAACAGATAATAGATAAATGACGCAAAGTCAAATCAGAATCATAAATTAATTGAATGTATATATGTAGATGTATGTTTATTTTGTGACATTTAATTTATACTTTTCGATTTTCCGAACGGAAGGGATAAATCCTCTAGTGGTAAGTATAAGAATACATAAATAATAAATATATAAAAATCTAAAATAGTGTTAGTCGTATATCAAATGTGTTTTTGCTAATAAAGCAACATCAAATGACTACGTACGACGACTATGGGAATGAGAATGCGGGGAGTAACCAAGTGTCGGTATGACTGTAATCATGCAAACCAAAAAACACCGCCAATGCACAAAAAAAAGATTTCAAAAAAATAAAAGAAAAATACAACAATAGCAAAAAGAAAAAAAAAAAAAAAAAAAAAAAAAACAGTAAAGGCATACCGAATGATTGAACAAAGTTAAGAACGAATGAGCGCGACCTGATAAACTGGTTGCAAGATTTGTATGGTTGGTTTTAATGGCATATGGCAGCTGAGGTAAAAAAAAAAACAATAGTTTGGCCAACCAACTAAACAAGCAATCGACCAGCCAGTCAGTCAGCAAAACAGACTATTCGATGTGGCAACAGTATTCAAGTTGTTTGTAAATAATTTCCGTTTGCGCGGTAAAAGCAAAGACGAGCAACAGCAAGGTAGGAACGAATTACACCCATACACATTAATACATGCGCACACAATTACATAGATTTGTTTCGCTTTGCTTTGAACAGAAAAACCAGTTTTAAAGTACAATTTTCAATTCCATTATTATTAAATGCAAGTAGAGTGCGACCCGTAACGCAACTGTCTTCACAAACGTGATACATAAATATATGCATGCATAAATGCATATATATATATATATATATATATGAATATAATCGGCAATAAAGTTCTATTCAGTTTAAAAATAGGGGTTATTAGCTCACAAGTCAGGTCATTGCGGGCGCCCGGCCGTCCGCGGCCCCTACCTCCCTTGCGGCGACGACTACGTTTTAACAAATAAAATGAATTACGCTTTGAATTGTTACGCACACACACACATTCATATGGAACATTAAACGAGTTGATGTGAAAATGATCGCTTTCGTTCAAGCGCACATCTGCAGTTAAAAAAATAAAAAAAAAAAAAAAAAAAAAAAAAAACAAATCTGTATTGGTAGGTGTTCAAAATTCGTATTGAAATGTATGTAGTCTTTTTTTCGGATGTTTTTCTATTGAAGTCTTCGTTAGAAGCAGTCAAAGCAACCCTCAAAGAGATAATGAAAACAAAGCAGAAAATTACATTGAGACCGAATTTTAAATACTCGTCTTGATCGTGCTCGTCTTACATTGCGCTTTAAAAAGGCGTAAGAAGATGAATTGAAACGTCTGCTAAACCTTTCAGGCAATGTAAAATATTTTTGGTCAGTCGGAGACTCGTAGCAATTAATTTAATAATGTTTTTAATCACTTTCATCTTACGTTGAGAATTTAAAATCATAATACAACAACAACAACAACAACAACAACAACAACAACAATAACAACAGCAATAACAAACAAAGTTTTACCTTTAAATAATGAGACGTGGCGCAATTATTTCGCAATAAATCGGGTTTCAATGCGAGCCTATATGCTTGTAATTGATAAATCTTTGTGTCTGAAGTGACGACTATTTAGTATTTAGTATTTGCCTTGAGACAAGTTAATTATTCCTATATATATATATATATATATATATATATTTTAGTTGTGTTTCATTTCTGAGGGTGTAGCAATGATAACCATAACCAGTGCTGCAGTTTTGCCCTACACTGTGTACACATACATGCATATCTATGCACACAAACAACAATTTACAATCAAACTGAAAAAGGAATAATACACAATAAAATCACAAGCGCGGCTATATACAAAAACCACGTTTTTACAGACCTTTGTGTAAACATAAAACAGCGGCACGATTATAAACCAGTCCAAGTACTGAATGACTTACTGGCGGCATAAACAACGGACAAGCACACAAAGAGGCAAATAGATGGTTCCAAGTTTAAAGCATCATCAGTGTTGGCGGCCGACTGATTTTGCTGCTGTTAGCATTTTTTTGTGTTCGCCGCCGAAACAATGAAAGCATACTTGTTTAGTGATACGATTTGAAACAGATGAAAACGCTCATCATAAAGCATATACTACCGTCATATATACTTTTGATCACATCAAAATTGTAACCACCTGTTAGAAAATATCCATATTCTAAATATTGACATCACAATTTTAAGCCTGGCATGTACACCTCCAGTATAGGCGCATACATTAGTGGAGGAAAAACCCTTAGGAAACATACATATGTACATTATCTACGAACGGCTGACAATGTAAGAAATACATTGATACAAAAAATGTTAGCCAACACCTAAGGCTAAGGGTGGCTTTGTTTGAAAAAAAATTAAGAGAGAGAGAGAAAGAGAGAGATTATATATTTCAATTAAGATATTCTTAGTGATCGTATCGTCTACGTAACATATAACCTCTCGATTTCCAATTGAAGCGATGAACTTTTTATTTCAATTCATTCTTAAGCTATTGTTGGGTACTAACGATTCAACTCAAACTCATTGCAAAGTATA